GTTTAATCCCAGAAGTATTTTAACTTTTTTTGAGTTATTAGTGAGAATGTGGCCGTGTTGTGTAGCTACTCGAATATTCAAACTAAACATGTGCCGGTTGAGTTATTAGTGAGAATGTGGTCGTGTTGTGTAGCTACTCGGATATTCAAACTATTCGCTTTAAATTTAATTGTGTAAAGAATGTTGAAATTTGTAAATTGATATAAACATTTACTATCAGTGTCAGGTGTAACTGTGAGATTTGTATGTAGAATATCGATATATATTATCATACTAATAATTGTAATATATGTTATATATATATATATATATATATATTGCGTGGGGTATCAAGTTTTTTCATTGTAGACGAGTAAATACAACGCTTAATGTGGGGAATAAGTTGGCCCGATATATGGATTTTCACTAACTAGAATCTATACAACAGCATTCCAACTACACTTTATACACCGCTTCTCACAAAGTCTTTCGCTCAGTATCAGAAGTAATAGTTTATAGGCCTACCAAGTGTTATAGCTTTTTGGGTACTAGATTGAAAATTCTATCACAATAAGACTCAAATAATAGTAATTTAAGTCACATTATTATTTACTGGCCCCAAATGTGTATGTGTTCAGTAAAAAACAGTGTAAATTAGTATTTTAACCTACACTTTATACGCTGTATCCTGGTTGAAGTACGTCTCTCGCTTAAAATACACTCTTAGAGTATTACACTTCAATTTTGTTTCGGCTTTGTTTTCACATTAGTTCATTCAAGCCGGTAATATGTAAACAACGGGGTTTGATGAAATGATAAAATTACAAAATCCATTATAAAAAGGCTAAACTTTTAATACAGGTCACTATTTGTAAAAATCATTTAGATAGTAAGGAAGAAAGAAATAATGCCACTTATAGCATTGCACAGATAAAAGGTTGTGGAGTAGAGACCCTGATGACGATTATTGATCCGAAATAATGATATGTCTCCTTAACTTGTATTTTCCGATGTGTAATAGCACTAAAAGAGCTTTTTATGCCTATTGACTGTTATATTGTATGTAATTTGACTTGTAAGTTTTTAACTTCTAATTGTGCTTCATTTGACTTTCAACTTCAATATATGTAATTCTTATGTTTTATATGATTTGTTTATACATTATGTATCTACATTAATTGACTTGTATTTGCGATTTATATTGTGTATAGCTTCATTTGTATGATTCATAGCTCGCTTCTATCGCCCGTCCCAATGCAACAGCGGTATGTCTGCGGACTTACAACGCTAGAATCCCGGTTTAGATACCCGTGGTGTGCAGAACACGGATAGCCCATTGTGTAGCTTTGTGCTTAATTACAAAAACAAACAAAACAACGCTTCTATCGTGTATATTATTTGAGTCTTGTGTGGTATATAAATTTACTCTGCTGGTACATGTGATTTGGTCATTATTTCATTTTGTAATATATATATATATTGTAAAGAGCTGCAGTTAGCATTACGAAATATTAAGAATACTCAACTTATTTCTTTCACATTAATTGTTTTATCTTGCACACTTTAAAGCCTAATAGTACTCAAATGGCTTTGTGTAATATTTAACATTATACTCCTATATATGTTGTATATCATCTAGACTGCATTTATATATTATTTGACTTCAATATTATTTACGTCATTTTATTTGCAATTTTTTATTTATTTGAGTTTTATGTTTTATATGATTTGAGTTGTATTTTAAATGTCGTTTTACTCCCGTACTGTACGCTGCATTATATTTGAATCTGTGTTGAATATGATTAAAGTTTAGTGTTGTATATCCTTTACTTTGTGTTATGTCCATCATTTGAATATGTGCATTTGACCTCCATGATGTAAGTTAATTGATTTATATCTATATCATTTCAGCTGTATTTGTATAACATCGATTTTTATTCCATAGCAATAGCGTTTCTGCTGTCATAATTAATTAGTGTTGTATTTTGTTTTAGTTCTAAATATTTGTGATATAATTCAAAATGACAATCTTCCATTTACCTGTTAAATTTATCAAGCTCATTAACCTGCAACAGGTCTAGCTCGAACTCCCCTCCCCTAGTGGCACAGCATTATGTCTGCGGACTTACACCACTAGAAACCGGGTTTCGATACCCGTGGTGGGCAGAGCACAGACAGCTCATTGTTTAGCTTTGTGCTTAACTCCAGACAACTAAACTAAACTAGCTCGAACTCGAAAATATTCACCCAACGATTATGGCGTATTGTATGTGTTACTTTTAAGTGAAATAATTAACTAAAAGAATAAACCTGACAACAAATACTTCCTGCGTTTGTCGCTGATTTAAGGATACTTAAAAGCTTTGATTTCCCAGAACTTCCTACGCTACTTTTTGAGGTAATAGAATTGTGTTCTGAAATCGGCATGATAGAATGGACCTGTGAGAATAATAAGAGTGGCATAATATAATGGACCTAAAGAAATATATTGTAGTGTTATAATAGAGATATGACCTGAAGAAATATAACATCGATATAATAGAGTTGACCTGAAAAAAAACATAGCAGTAATAAAAGTCCTTGTCAGTCTTCTCTAACTCATGATCGATATTTTTAATAGCAAAGAATCGCTCACACACACACATGTCAAAGTATGATCACATCTGACCGTTGCAGTAAGCTGTTGAAGAATATCGGCTTACTGTGTAAGCAGAAAGAGAAAGATGAGTTATTTTTAGCTACAACAATAAAGTCTATAGATACAAAAAAAATCGATGTGCTGTTATAAGCTTGTTTTTAATGTACCTTTGACGAATTAGTTAAAATGTTTTCTATTTTAGTTTTTATATAAAAAAAACAAGTGTGGAGGTAGCGTCGAAATTCAACTAGCAAGACTTGTAATTGGTTGTCGAAGCTACGACAGTGTGAAGCGTCAAATCCTAATCAATATAATGAAAATCTTGATTATCTTGATATAAATATCTTTAAGATTTTCACAGCTCGGATACTAAACGTAATGAACATAGATTTAATGTAAAATATACCAACACAGTTACCAATATTAATATATAGATAGTTAAGAGATTTTATTGTGTATGACTGAGGCTTAGCCAGATGCTTTTTTATGCTCTGTCACTATAGCTACCCTAAATGAAACTTTAAAAAAAAGGCAATCCTATTTATCTATCTATACTGTAAATGTTAAGCCTTTTGTAACTGGTATTAGGAAATTTTAATGTGTCTTATGAAAATTTCTAGATCAACAATATGAGCTTGTGAAATATAAACTGAGAAAGTTTTAACTTTAGTGCATCTGGTGTGACCAAAATACATACGTGCATGTAAGATTTTCCACGTTTTACAAAATGGAATTTTGAGCTATTTCTCGCTTTAAACTTAGTTCATAGTGACTAAAAATTTAAAGCGTATTACACTCATCTGTAACGTTGAATACTTTGTGTTATACAATGTTGTGGTGAAAATCATTGGTCATTAGGTACGATGATTAAATCAGAAACAATAAAGTGCGTTCCTTTTTTTAAACCGTCTGCATAAAAGATTAATTCTGTATAAAACTTACAAATACATAGAACATCGATAGGCCAAAGAATAACGTTTGAATCGTGTAAAATATGGATTGTGCGTTAAAATTATTGAATTGTTCTTCTTGATTTGATTTCAACTAATGTTTAACTCCATTTACTTTTCTTTTGCTCTTCTTTCAGAAACAGAATGAACAATTATTCACAATAAAATCTTTGGAACATTATACCTTTATTTTTTATCAGTGAGCTTCCCTAGATCGTTTTGTAAAATATTGGCTCTAGTAATAATGTGAGCTGTATGTATTGCTATATTTTAATGGAAATAATAAATTTTTATATCTGTACGAATGTTATTTAGTTTAATTTATAAACCGTTTACTTTATTATAGATTAATAATGGACGCAAATTTAAATGTATTACGAAATTGTAATATCACAAATAACATTTACTAACGCTTGACATATCCACATGGTATAAACACAGTGGGTTGAGTACGTTATATTAAAACGATTTTCAATATGTAAATCAGCAAGTCACAGCCGATATAAAGTCGTGGTGGAATTTATATGAGGATTTTATTTTGGCATTTCTTGGCGTTTCGTAGATAGTGTTATGCCACTGAAAACTGATCGCTTCTGGGAAGAGTATGTAACAGTCCTTTTCTGACGCAAATATTTGTACACTGAACATACTCAACTTCTATGTGCATATATATATATATTCATTAATTCGACTGCTGGACCTGATTAAATTGCTTTACCACAGGTTCAATATATAATATACAGATGAGGGTAAGCTATAATAAAACGATTTTGGAGCCATATCATGGTGCTACATTCGATCATGCTTCATATGACGACCGTGCATCTTGACAATAGCCCCGAAGCATAGTTTTCATTATAACTCCATTGGAAGGTTGTTATGTCAAAAGCACATCACTGTTCTTTGCATGGTTTCCATTAGCCGTCTAGTGTACTAGGACGACGCTTTCCCAGTACTCACTTCAACAGTCTAATCGCATCGAAATCTATCGGCGCTGTATACAACAACTTGACCGGTAAGTCTTCTTATGAAATAGCCACGAATATTCGTTTTATTCTTCAGC